TTTTTATTACTGTTAATGTATAGAACGTGTTCAAACTATTAAGTCCTGTAAGTCTGGTCTTTACGAAGACAAAGCAGGATTTATCATGATTTAAAATTAAAATGAATCAAAACTAGTGAGAGGTTTTGGAGCACTGTCTAGTGGCCATTCATGGTACTGCACCAAGGTCTTCCACATTAGCTGCAGCTTTAAGGTGTGCTGGTTCCCAGATACAAAACAGCCCACAAATCCATCATGTTGAACCAACTCAGCCGTGCTGATGCTTTAGAACTGCACCTCTGTCCTTAGCTGAGAGTTTGAGGAGCTTCAGGGTCCATCTTACATCACCTGAGCAGCCATTGTATGAGGTCAGTGTTGATATTTGGTCACTCTCTTGGCATTCACCGCGTGCCTTAATTGTATGGACATTTAAATCAAGGTCCGCTGTGAACACGAGGAGAGACGACCCACATTTCTTTGCATTTTGTCCGTCATTCTGTCTAATTTTGTTCAGTTTTTACACATTTATCTCTGAGTTTTGCCATTTTGTTCAGATTTATTCAGCTCTGCTTCAACATGTCTCATTTTGACATTTGTCCAATTTCACTCTCAAACCTATTTTCACACTTTTCCCAGAACCAGTTTATTCTACTTCATCCCACTAGAGCTTTCTATGTTCTGCTTCACTGGGCTTTGTCCGAGTCACATTTACTGTTTATCCCTCACCGTAGCCTGTATTTCAAAAAGTGACACTGCTTATGAAGGAAATATTAAATGTTTCAAACCTATTTAATACAAGGATCTAATGAACATATTTCATTATATTAAGCTTGTAAATCTCTCACAATCTGATTTCACTGCTTACTGACTGATTCTTCTTTCTGACAGTCATATTTACATTTTAGTCTTAGTGCTTACATTGATTACGCTTCACTGATAATTTGTTATGCTGATTAAAATGCATGCAAATCCACACAAATTATACAAATAAGTCCATCGTTTATACAAAGTAACACAGTGACAACGGTTTTCGTGATGACAACAGTTACAATGCACTAAGCCAGGACAGTGCTCGTCTCTGTCACATCACAGCAGCGAGGTTTGATCCTCAGCTCTGCACCTCTCTGTGTCGTTGTTGTTTTGCAGTGCTCGGTCTCCTCCTGCAGGAGGGTTTAAAGATACACAGTGTGTGTCTTTATTGGCCCTGTGATAAACTGTCAAAGATGTCCTGCATGACCTCCAATCAATAGGCCCCATGCTGGGAAACCTTCTAGTCAGTGACCACAGTACAGTCATCTACTGCCTTGATTTTTCTTAACGATGAATAAAAACGACTAAATATTCCACTAGATGTGTGGACACTGATGTTGAAGAACAATATCAGCAGCCACGATTTTCCAAAATTAGCCATTAGCGTGTTTTATTTTGTTCATTTCTCACTTTAGTATGAAAATGTTTGCAGATTTGAAGCAGTAGTTTCATTTTTGACTTTTTGGCCCCTTGTAACAAACCACTGTCAACGTGCAAGCTTGTTTCACAGTTTGGACGTGATTTGTTGTTTAGCCCTAATTTTTTTGTTAAACTGCTGCATTTCCAGGGGCCTGAAACAAAGGTTAAAGTAATCAGCAAAAGCTACATTTTGACAAATATGATTTTATGTATTGGAAATATGTTTTTGAAATATCTTATCCCTTTAATCATGTGACTCCCCTCAGACTTATTTTGGCATCCGCTTGCCTGAGATGCAGCATTCCCAACACTTCTAACTGAATAATGCAACTACAGCTACATTAAAGGCAGACATGATGCTGACTGAGACTGACTGTCTGCCTGAAGCAAGGGCACATTGATTTTCATACCATAGCGAAATGAGTGGAAACCAATAATGGCTTCCTGGAAAATTAGCAACAGATTTAAAAACTGAAATAACGCAGCATGCATAAGAAAGTGATTACAATTTTGTAAGGATATCATGCAAAACACTCCTTTAAGCAGCACCGCCACTGAACTATTATCCTCCATTATCCAGCAGTTCTTATACAGCACTGCATTAATGGCACAGCTGCAGGGGAGGAAGCTGCTGCTGCATTTAACTCCTCATCCCACAAGAGTAGACAATCCTGTCAGCTCCTGAAAATTACAGTTTTGTTTTCGTATTTGTGCAGATGGAGCAGCGGCAGCAGCAGCATCTGCGCTGCTCAGTGGCTCCCCGGCAGAGGAGAGGAGCTGGACCCATCTGCAGCCTCATTAACCGCCGAAATGCTAATGACCCAGATAGCTCACGTAGGCTAAAATGGGGGGGGGGCTTTGCCTTTGTGGGGATCGGGTGTTTGAGCCCATATTATAGAGCCTATATTATATTTTCTACAATACAACAGAGGACTACACAAACTCAAATTACAACAGAATGAACAGTTTGGTATCAGTATTGTAGTATAACCATAATAAAGAGTGTAGTGTTTTTATAATTAGAACCACATCTACCTTAATACACCACGGGCTGTTACGATTATCAAATATCACAGATGCATTTGATGTATTTGTAGAAGGATTTGGATGTGTGTGCAGCTTTTCGCTCGTTTTTCAGAAAAGAAACCGAGATAAGAAGTTCCGCAGAGCACGACAGCACACTGCGGCTTTTGCAGGAGCAGTTTTAGCGCATATGAAAGAGTCAAAGGGCCGATGGAGGCTTAGGTAACACAGGCACTGGATAAAAACAAATAAACGTTGTACAGATGCGTGTAAGAAACGATCAACGATACCTTTCAGCAGCAGGGTGCAGGATAAATGGCGCAGATATCGTTCTTTTCTTTTTTTAACATCAGCGGGCACCTACGTATGGTGGGATACCTGAAAAAGCAGCATAAACATCTATAAAACACACGGATGCAGGAGGTCGTGTTTGACGCTGACAGATTTGCGTGCGTCGCCCGGTCCGCGCTGCTGTCCTCTGGGGGTCCATGCAGGGATGCTGAGGATGCGGAGGAAGCGGAGGGATGCTGCGGGAGATGCGGAGGTCGGAGTGTCCTTTTTCTGCAACTAAACGGGAAAGCCGATTTTTTTTTCCTCAAGCAGATCTATTACAGCACAAATAGTCCAAACCCAGAAGATTACCGGAGCCAAGAAATATCCTAAATACACAAATATCAGATTTTGTGTGCGCTGGGTGCAGTCAGGAGGTGGCTACAGTAGCTGTGTGACAGGATGGAGGGAGAGAAGTTGGGCGCAGTCTGATGGAGAGAGGAGAGGAGAGGGGAGGGGGTGGTCCTCTGAAAGAGAGGGAGTCAGATGGAGCCGGGTTTTTACATCCTCAGCTTTCAGCTCTGAGGATGGCGGGAGGAAAGAAAGCGAGCGCATCTGCCTCACAATCCATCTGACTCTGAACTAAACTGATACTAATATGGTGTTTTAATCCAAAAAAACAGTAGCTGTATTCTGTTATCTAAATAAAAACGCATTACATGGTCCGAAACATTCATCCGTGTGAGTGTTGATGTCATTCGCCAACAGCCTACACTGTTGTGTGTCAGGTTTTCCACCAGGTTGTGAACCAGCTGCAGGAACCTGCTCCCATTCACCACATGAGCATTACTGAAGTCCAGCTCTGATGTTGGGTGGTTCTGTCTCACAGCTGGTGCACCACCTCATCCCAAAGGTGTTGGACAGGTTTGAGATCAGACCAGTCCTATTCTGGATACGTGATATAAATAATGGATGGATGGATATCCATGTTCTTCTTCTCTGTGTGGTGGAGAATATAAAACTGACATTCAAATGAACAGTTTTCCAACATGAGCAACATTCCTCCTGTGTTCTTCCATATGGCTCATCGCCTGTGCCACCTCCTCCCCTTCCTCTACCCAGCAGCCACTGGGAACCAGTAAAGTGATGATGTTCTGTCCTCATCTGAAAACACCATTACGACCACAGACCATGAAGTAATCAACGGTTTCCATCTTGGAGCCTCATTTGCTTAAAACAACCCCCTACAGGCAGTGATGGGAGAAGTATTCAGATTCAAAGTAAAACAGTGCATTCAAAGTATCACCTGATTAAAAGTAATGGATGTTATTTCATATGCTTCAGCTCATTTACTCCTGCATCTGATTCCCTATTTCCTGTTCTTATTTTCATTGTTTATCATCTTAACAGTATACAGCTTTAATATTCCCCAAATAATTTGGTTTTAATCCCAGTGTTAACAGTCTTAAATAATAATCTTTGTGCATAAATTCCCCCTTTTCCCCTGGACAATAACAAGATTAAATTAATACAGTAACCTGAATACCCTTGTTGTAACTTGAATCTACTGTATATTGTATTTGTTTGGTAGTCACTGCTCATGTCTGTGTGTATAAAATGTGTGCATGCTAACAGCAAACACCACAAAGGAGAAGGAAACAGGAGGAACATGGTGTTGATTGCCCCATACATGTTGATATATTCACATATTGGGACATGACAGCCAACATTGCTGTTTATTTAGTTCACATCACTTCCTGTCTGGCAGATTTTAAATATCTTGAGTACCGTGATGCATCACAAATACATTAAGATACCGGATAAGAACAGTCTTGCTTTTTAAATGACTGTGCAATAATTTGGGTGTTAAAAGCTGCCCTGATTCCTTTGTGTAATACAGTGCACAGTACTTTATATGCTAATATTCTTTTCTATCAAAGAAGGAGTCCTGCAAAAGGTGGCATTGCCCCCACAGAGCCTGGATCTCAACATCATAGTCAGTCTGGGATTAGGGGACAGCCAGACATACCTGGGGGAAAAAAGGCCACACCAAATACTGATTGATTTTATTGATTACTAAAATTTGTTATGTGACGAATAAAAAAGTATTATGTTATTCTTGAAAGTATATATAACTTTAGTTTCAGTGCCTAAATCTTGTTCACAGTAGTGTCTATATTGAATGCTTCTCCAGCAATTGCTGGCATGGTTCGCACTTCATAACAATGCCGAACTCCATTGAAAACTCGAACAATGTAATGTTGTTTTAATTATTGGTGACATTAAGCACGTCCTGTGTATACATCAGCTTATAGTGAATAAAAATGGAGGAAATCTGCTCAATTCGGTGTGCATGTCATATCAATTAAATAGCGGTCTAAGAAATTAAAAGTATCAAAATAATTAACGTTACTGTCATTTGTATAAACTTTCAGAATGCAAAAGTTCAAAACTGTTCTCTAGCGACATTCGCCTTAGGCAGTGTTTGTTTATGGTCAGTGTTGAGTAACACGACCTCGACGTTACACAAGTCTAACTTGTTAGGTAAGGTCGCTGTTACGTTACTAAGCTAACTGAGCTAGCCCTCAGTGTGCAGCAGGAGTGCGTCGGTGATGCTCAAAGTTTAATGGTCTGCCTCTCCAGAGTCCGTCTAGTGTGGCGTCGTCTTGTCAAAAGCAGGATGGGAGACATGGCCTCTAAAGTCCAGATGCCGACTCCAGAGACAGCGCTGCCCGGCCGCACTGACAGCATCAAAGTCTCGGGTAAGACTGAACCAGGGTAGCTTTAGCATGTTAGCTTCTCTAGCAAAAATGCTAGAACTAGCTATATGGCACATCCAAATGAGATGGCGAACAATAACGAATAGTTTGCTGTTTTTGGTGATCTGGTGAGCTTAGGCTAATGCCCGTGGCGTTGTCTTCCGTACACGATAGGAACCGCTTGGGTTATAAAAATGTGATTAAGTTAAGAAAATGTTAATTTAGCCTTACTATAAACACCAGTCGTAGAGCATTACTGCGCATGCGCAAATCAAACTGCCTCTAAACCGTCAAAATATTGTTAAAAATGACACATATATGTATGTATGAGAACTGAGAATTTGAAAGATACGATAGGCCAGCCACTGCCCCTGGTATGGCAACACATACAGTACTTCACAATACAATTTTATTAATGTTTTACTGTAGAGCTGGGTTTTTTTCCCTAATAAACTTTATTCTATACTGCAGCTTTTACTAGAGCCTACATTATTATAGTAGCCTGCAGCTAATACTAGAGCAACATAGGCTATGCCTCCTTAACAGACCAGTGTCTTCTTTTCCTGTGAAACAAACTACTTTAATAGAGTTGATAGGATAGATGGCAAACCACTGTAAAACAATAAGACACTTCAACATCATGATATTGCTGAAGTAATTTAGACTTTAGATAATACTGCATTATTGCCCTGCCCTAATAAGGAGGATGTGACATTAGGAAGTTTAATTCAATCTCAGTTTTGACTTTTAACAGGTTATACATTTGTTGATTCAGTTATTTATTGTGTAATTGTCACTCTAACATGCGTGTGTTTGTGAGCTAGAGAGTTTTCAGTGTGTATAAACAAAGTGACAGCAGCACTAAGTTGGCAGCAGGGCACTTGGCACCAACCTGCCCCCTCTTCACTACAAGTGAGGGCCCTGAGACTTGGCACATGATGAATAGATCTGCACTGGCACTGAACAAAAGACCCAAGACACACACACAGACTCAGGCATACGTTTACTCCTTGCCCTTTAACATTATAAAGGGAAAGATGACTGAAAGAAAGTGGTGTAAAGATTGTGTGGTGTCACGGATACTGACTCACTGGTTTTTGGTTCAGTGTTAAAGGGACAGAGAAATAGTGGAGGGAGGAGAGTACAGAAGTGTTTCAGTGTTTCTGAATGAGTCTTTTAGATTGGGTTTGATTTGAGTTATCCGAAGTGTGTTCAATATTTTGGCTGGACTGGAGGGGGTTGGACAAGGGGAAGGAGGATTTGGGAGCGGAGGGGTTATGAGAGCAGGGGTCCACTGCAAAAGGATGATCGGGCTGGATGTGTGGATGGTAGGGTTCAGACGGAGTGGCAAACATGCTGGAGCATCGCCAGAGCTTCTCGGGAATGCTGCCACAATCGAGAGAGATGAAGAAAGAGCGAGTGAGCAGGGAGCAAAGGAAAAAGCCATGTCTGCAGTGGAGAGACTTGGCAGGGTTTCCCCTCCTTTGTCTGTCTGGCTCAGGGCTGCGGAGCCAGAGGAAATCAAGAGATGTCCAGGCATGATGGTGGTGGTGGTGGTGGTGGTGGTGGTGGTGGTGGTGGTGGTGGTGGTGGTGGTGGTGGTGGTGGTGGTGGACGGGGACAAGCTCTGCTGCGGCTCTGAAAAGACGAGAGACAAAAGTACTTCAAACGGACCGAAAACTCTGCTTCTGTGAAAATCAGAAAAACAAAACAAGCCATTTTCTCTTTTTCAAAGAAAATCCACATTGGAGCAATTGGACCTGACAAGATTTCGACGACAAAATGACATGACCACATTTTCTAATAAGTCGGCCTGTAGTTTTACTGGTAGCAAAGATATTATATTTGTATTTTTTGGAAGGTCCAACAGTGTCTGTGAACTGGATCAGGATGGATGACTGGCTTTAACATGTCCACTAGTAGCTACAAGAAGGCCAACCCTGCGCCAAGCAAGAGGTTTGTGTATCAGTGCTTGTTGGGGTTTGAACCAAATATTACCTGAACATTTGTGTTAGTGTTTAAGTGTCTTGGGAACATGTCAGTGTGAAATGTTGCTATAAGAGATGAAATGGTATGTTTTTCATGAATCTGATGAACTAGTGTTTGTGGAGCCTGATCTGAAGGTTACAAGGCAGGCCAGAAGCCTAAACAAACCACGGCTGACCTGTTGATATTGAACTGGAATCTTTAGATTGTAGATTCAGAACTGTGCAGACATGATGACAGATGGGACTGAAAGTTCATTCTTACCCATAAAAACACAAGGTGACAAAATGATCTCTTTTCAGTTTGTTTTGTTGTTCTGGAGCTTTAAAGTCAGTATTCAGTTAAATTGGTAGTCGGAGTTCCATGAAGGTCACATATGTTTAGAAATTTTCATTTTCTGAGAACTTAAAGAGTTTCTTGTCTGTATTAAAAGTTTTGACACAAAGTTAAATTTTGACCTAGAAAACAGTAGTTGATGATACAGTCTCACTGTTCTATGACACTGAAACCAACACAACTCAAATATGGCTTTGAATAACTGGGCAGCACGGTGGCACAGTGGTAAGCGCCGTTGCCTCACAGCGCGAAGGGTTTGGGCCCCACCTGGGACCTTTCTGTGTGGAGTTTGCATGTTCTCCCCGTGCTTGCGTGGGTTCTCTCCGGGTACTCCGGCTTCCTCCCACAGTCCAAAGACATGCAGCTTAGGTTGATTGGTGTCTCTAAATTGCCCATAGGAGTGCATGTGCGTGTGTCTGGTTGTTCGTCTATGTGTTAGCCCTGCGATGGATTGGCGACCTGTCCAGGGTGTACCCCGCCTTCGCCCGATTGCTGGCCGGGATTGGCTCCGGCCCCCCCTGTGACCCCGTTCAGGGACTAAGCGGTAGAAAATGAATGAATAACTTGTTACTTTAAAATGCTTTAGTCTTTACTCAGTAGTCTGCATATTGGAGGCACAAGTAGTGATAAAAGTTATACATAGTCCATGATAAGTTTGCAGAGTCCAAGGAGAATTCTTTAAACTGCTTGTGTTATCCGATCAAAAGGCTAAAACCAAAATATATTCACTTTAAAGAGAAAAGCATCATGTGCTGACATTTGCGAAGGTAGAACCTGTAAACATTTGAAATGTTGACTTGAAATTTCTTCGAAGCTGTTTTATTATTAAAAGAGTTTCCAAATAATTTTCTTTTGCCCTAGCAGTCGATTAATCCTCAGTTTTTTTTTTGTTTTTTTTTATCTGCAGTTTCCCAAATAATTCCCATCTAATAATGTAACAACTGCAAAGTAATCCAGTAATGTGTTTTTGGTGCTAAGTCAGACTGATTGGTACTTTTTTTTTTGTTTGTTTCAACATAACATTGCTCTCTGTGACGAGATGGTTTTCCCAGCTTGGTGTGTAAGAACTTGTCTGGCCTGCACAGAGCTCTGACCTCAAACCCATCCAACACCTCTGACATGAACGAACACTGTGAGTCAGACCTTTTCACCCAGTAGCAGTGTTGGAACCCACTAATGCACTTGTAGCTAAATGGGGGGAAAATCTCTGCAGCCACAGTTTTCAATCAGCTTTTATTAAGCAGCTGTGCTGTTGCACGTGTCAGGGTTGCAGGAGTTTAAAACAGGAGCTTCTGGCATTTGACACGCTCTGTAGGGCCACATATTTGTAGTGATAAATGTCTCCTCTGTCCTGATAAGCTGCTGCACAACTTTCCTGTCTCTTTCATTTTCTTTGCAGGTCTGTTGCTTTTCTTTCCTTCTCACCAGCGCTGCCTGTCTCTCTGTCTGTTATGGGAAAGCACTTAGCTTAAGTCAACCTCTAAGAACCTGTATGTTTATTCACTTCCTTGTCTTAACGAGTATTTAGACATTAACATCGAAAAGAAGCACCCCCTCATTAACTTAGGAGGTGACGAGTTTGCATCTGTACTTTGCTTTACCAACTTCAGCTCCTCCATGGTCACTGTCATCCTTTGTTTTTCACTGGAAAATTCAAACATAATTTGATGATCAGGACAAAGTTGCACCAGTGTATTCTGAGTTTGTACCTTTTTGAATTTGACATTTTATGTGGTGTAAAGACTAACACTAGAAGAGCGGCGCAGCAGATGAGTGCACTTGGTTATGGAATGACAGTGTCCACATAGAGCATCAGATACACAAATCAGGTAACACCGGTGTTGTAAACCTGTATCAGTCCCTCCATCACACCTCTTGTCCATGCTAAGTGACTGTGCAGTGTTATCAGGTTGAGGCTGGCGCTCCTCCATCCATCTACCTTTGTCACAGCCGTTACCACGACGACACAGAGGGACTCCAGTGAATGAATGAGTGAATGAATGTGTTTGTTGAGCTCTTTTGTTGTTTACACGGCGGTCTGATAACCTTGACGGGCGTCTGGGGGGGGGGATGTGATCGAGATAACCGATGAGGGAGATATACAGATCAACAGGGATGAAGAGATTTTTGGGAAAGAGAGCAAGATCAAGGCTGAGAGAATGATGATTAATGTCGTTTGAGCTAATCTGACACAAGATAAAGTCAAGTGAAAGATCCTTATTTTACAGGAGACATTAGATTTGACAGTGATGCGTCTGAGGTCTGGAGCAATCGCAAGAGCATTTGAAGGTTAAGGACAGGGAAGGAGATGAAGAAATCAGTGGCGCTGATAGTGAGGCAACAAAGCAGAATGCCATGCCATGTCATTTTCTAGCAAAACATGCTGCTTCTAACTTCTTGCCGTGCAGTGAACTGAATCTCTGTGGGACTGTGGACGAAACAAGATGTTCGTAGACATTTTTTTTATTGCACCTCAAGTGAAATTGTGAAGAGTTTATGCGAAATGGTGTTTGTCCAAGAACTAAAAGCATCAATAGTCAATAATGATTCTTAGTAATAAAACTACCATCCTTATCCAAACATAAGAATCATACCATACCCTCCCAGGTTGTTCCAGAGCTGGATATTTAGTTATTAGCATTGTCACAAATGTCAATGGCATTATGAAGGAGGTTTGTTCC